AGAGCCTTTGCCCCCTACTGCCCCCAACTCCAGGGCGGTCCAGAGGTAAAGAACATGCCAGCACTGTATTTACCGTGTTGTGCAACTGTCCCTACTATCCAATTGCAGAATCCCAGTTATTCTTACCAAGGACTGAGCTGCAGCCCCCTGTGCTCCTTAGGAACCCAGGGCTCTCCCTGGTTTGGGCCAGATACCACTTTTCTAGGAAAGCCCGGGGTGCCCCTACCAAGAATTTCTCTGGGGCAGAAATGGAGCAATAGGTAAACACTTAGTGGACACTGTGTTCCACTTAGTGAAACCAAGTTGTAGATTTTCTGGGAAAGGGGCCCAACATCCACCTCGTCTAAGCCTTCCCCCCCGCCCCCGTCTGCCTCTCAAGCTGCCCTGAATGCAACCCTTGTGCTGACCCTGGCCTCAGTTTCCCCATCCACTCCCTGGGCAGCAGGCTGAAACACACGCCTCCAACATCCCACAGAGGGGTCCTCCCCAACAAATGACAAGTCTCATCCACTTTGTGGGAAGAGAAAGGCCAGCCTGTTAGGTCAGCCAAGACTGGCCAGAGCAGTAGGTTGAGACTGCTTGGGGAGCTCTCAGATCCAGGACTAGTGAGTGAAACTTTATTCTGCAGGCCGTAGAAAGCTTGGGAAGTTTTGAACTGGGGACATAACCCCCATATACCGGGTTGCACCAAAGATGGAGTCTCAGCGGCTGTCCTACTAGCCATCAGCACTGGGCACTAAGAGATTGGGATTCCTGGACATTGGCTTCTCTCTTCCAGCTGTGCTCTGCCACTCATTAGCTGTGTGGCCTTGGAGAAGTCACTTACCTTCTCCGAGCCTCCATTAACCCACCCACAAAAGGGGGATAATTATACCTTCGCTGCCTTACCTCTCAGGTTTAGGGGGGAATCTGATGGGGTGATGAACAGAAAATCCCTTTGTAGGAAAAATATAAGGGACTTTGATTCTAGTCCAGGTGTGAGCCCGATGATAAGGGCCAGGGGGATGAAAAACTCTCTAATGAAAGAATTCCTCTGCCCTTCCCTACCTCTTTTCCCTCTATAGAAATGCTGGAATCCCTCCAAGAAGGGTTGGAAAAATCCAGAGATCCCAGAGAAAATAGGGGTCACAGAAGGAACGCTGGACATCTGGGTTTTTCTGGACATTTGTGAAGGCTGGGCCCCCCCAGAGACAGCCCCTCCATCTCTCAGAGAGGTAGGAAGCCACACGGGAATGATCTGTATCCACATGGGGGAGGGGGGCTGGGGAGCAGCCTGGATAGCCAGAGTCAGCATTTCAGAGCCCTGCTATCAGAGGAGGAATGGGTAGGCAAGGGGGCTGGGGGGAGGGGGCGTTCTCCTTGTTGAGTCGCCCGCACTTTCATCCCTCCTGCAGGAGATGATGACGCAGCCACCTTCCTGTGACAACGGCACTTGTGTCATTTTCCTTCTCTGAACCTCGGCTTCCTCATCTGTAAAATGGGGTGATAAAGCCTCTGATACACTGAGTCCAGCTGCACAAATATGGCTGCCATTCTTCCATCCTTTGAAACCAAGGAGGTTCTCAGGGCTAACAATCCCCTCATTCCCCAGTTTTGAGGTGCTTGAAGAAAAATCTGAAGACACTCCCAGGACAGAGCCTAGGCTCTGAGGGCACTGTCCATCTTCTGACAAGCTGGATGAGATTAGCTGTGTGTGGTGGGGGAAGCAGAGAAGAGAAGGGGCCCTCTCTGTGGGCTAGGTACATGCTTCAGCCTGCTGCCTGGGGAGGGGATGGGAAATCCCACCATTGGCCAAGGCTGTTAGAAACCATCCTGGAAGGAAGGAAGGAAGGAAGGAAGGGAGGGAGGGAGGGAGGGAGGGAGGGAGGGAGGGAGGGAGGGAGGGAGGAGGGAGCCCATCTGACCACGGGAAAGTCACTTACCCGTCTGAGCATCAGTGTCCTCTGGAAAATGGGCACAATAATAGTCCCTACCCCATAGGGTTGTTGTTGCAATTCAATGAGCTAATGCTCACTAAGGATTCAGCATAGAGCCTGGCACAAAGCGAGAGCTCGGTAATGGGATTTATTTGTTATGGTTCCCAGATGATTGTTCTTTACATCGGCCGCAGAGCCACGCGCTGGATGGATGGATTTATACGGAGGCAGATCTGCAGGCAACAGGGAGAGCAGTGGAACCTGGGAGGGGCTGCCTCTGCAGGTCATGAGCTCCGTGCCATCGGATACGGGACGGCCACTGGAACTCCCAACCGAGGCAAACACATGTGGGCCCAGAGATGGGCTCTGAAGCTGGACTCCTGGCCTCTGCTCACTCAGTGCGTGACCTTCACTGACTGTGCCTCAGTTCCCCATCTATGCAATGCGGATAGTAACAGTACCCACCCAAAAGACATGGGTGAGTACTATTTAATGAGGGTTAAATGAAATAATACACATAAAGCAACAGAACACACTCAGTGCAGGGAGAGTAATTCAATAAACATGACCTATGATTATCATTGCTGGTGTTTGTATTATTATCACTGAAGGGAGAAGTGAAAGCCCCTTGCAGGCCTACGAACTGTTCACTGTCCTAGACCCCACTAACACCCCAGCGTGCTGTCATGGTCTGTCTGCCCTTCTGGTTACAGCCCTGTTCCCCCACTAGCTACATGGGTAGGCGTATGGCCCAGGCCTGGCCACTCAGACTGTCCCTGTCCCCCAGCGACAATGACTGTCCCAATTAGAGTCCTTCCCTTGGATTGATACATAGATCCTAGAAGAAAAATAGTTCCTTTTTTCTGTCTGGGTGGCTAAATTGGGGTAGTGGACAGAGAGTTCCTAATAAGAGCAAAGAGGAGAGACAGCAGTGGTGGGAGAAAGATGGGGAGTCCACTCGACTCCTCATCCTTCAGCTCCATGGACCGCCCCAGGATCTGTTAAAGTCCTTTTTTGGTTTAAGGCGCTTTGAGTTGAGTTTTTGTCACTTTATCTGCCCAATTATACAGGCCCTCACCTAGATAATGTATACACTGGCCATGAGCAGGGCAGGGCAGAAGGGACAGTCTACAAAGCATGTTCTCAAGAATCACCCTGACCCAGGGGTCTTCAGACATTGCTTCCTGGAGCCCTGGGAATCTGCGCCTCCCCAAACACCCGTGGAACAAAGGGCAGTAAACGGGGTGGGGGGGGGGGCAGCAAGATTCTGGATAAACTGCTGCCAATTCGACCACAGCAGTTTTGCTACAAAAGCTACGTAATGGGATTCTGCTGCCCCAAGAGATGTGAAATACCGTATTCTAACCGATTCTCAGAAGAGCATTTATAAGTAGCCAGCTGATGTGTCCATCCACAACATACAGAAGAGAACACTGAGGCCCAGTTCCGGGCTTGCAGGCCACATGATTTCCAGTGCTTCAGGCTCCCTGTGAAAATCTATCACTTCTCGCATTTCCTGTCTCCTCCAGTAAACTGATGGCAGCTAATACCCAGAGTCTCATCTTTCTTGGCTCTAACCCCCAGAGAGCTGCCTGCTTCTGAGCCTGGCTCCTCGGCGGGCTTCCAGAAGCTTGAGGAACTTGTAGAATACATGTATGAGCCAACCTCCACCTCCCTTTACCATGCCCACACCCCCCCACACACACCCCATGCACACATACACTTAGTTCTCCCTCTCCCTGCCCAAATGTCAGGGAAAGACAAGCAGGCCCCCTCCTAGGGACTCCTAATCCACCTCCTCTCTCCTAGCTGTGCTGTGACTGTGGACAGAGGATTCCTTGTTCCCAGTGCTTCCTGCCCAGAGATCTCCGTGGGGCCCATGTGCTGGCAGGGAAGAGCCAAATCGCTCCTTTTAACTAGAGCTAAAGCCACCCCTTACCCCCACCACCACCACCCCCAGAGCAACATGCTCCCAGCTCTGCTTGGCATTTACTCTACCTGCCCGAGCTGGCTCAGTCCCACCTCCTCCCCATAGCCCTTGCTCCCTAGACACACACACACACACACACACACACACACACACACACGGAGAGTTCCCTAGGGATACAGAGGTGCCTCCGATCTAATCAAAAACAAAAACCAGAGGATTCTGGAACAACAATATCACAGACCCCTGATAGTTGTGCCTTCCTAATAACCCACAATGACATTTGCATATTACTTCACAATTTCCCAATCAGTGTAACTTCATTGGCTCCGCTCGCTCTCTGCCTCACCCTGCCGCAGCCACAGACCCTCCGAGCTGGAAAAGGGATTTTGACACACCCCATGCCGGTGGTTTGCAAATCATCTTGTGCAGAGCCAAGGAAGGGTTCCCTGTCATTATCTGGAGGCTGCTGGGGGCTGAGGAATTAGCCAATTAGAATCCCCCACACCCGTCCCAGTTTCAATGACCCTGCAACCCCTCTGGCTATTTTGTACATTGAGGTTCTTTGGGGTTCATTTGAAAAGGGGATTTTCCTGCTGGACAGTGTGAAAACAACTCATTTACTCTCACCCCACCTTCCTCCACTCCCTGCCCCGACAGTATATATAGGATCCTGAGGCCAACACAAAGAAATGTAGCCACCCACGGTCACTTAGGAGTCAGTGGTAGAACCAGAATGAAAACACCCTCTTCCTAAATCTAGGGTACACCTAGGAGTACTTAAGCAAAAGAAAACCAGGGCTGCAGGGTCAGCAGATCCAACTCCCAGGTCCGAGGCTGTCCATCACCAGCTACCGTGGCACCAACAAGCGATACAGGGAAAGCACATGATCCAACGCAGAGGTGCTTAACGAACATGCATTTTAGCCCCTACCTCAAAATAAGCCAAACCAGACAGGACCCTCAGCACCACCCTGCTTCTTAAACCCACCAGAAATCTGTGGCCTAGACAAACCTTCATGCCTCCCAGCAGTAAAACATCTCCAAAAAGAGAGCTTGAGGGCCTGGAAGACCCATGTGTCCACCCCGAGCGCAAGAAGGAGGCTTCACTTCAGGTGAAGAACGAGACTCTGGGCTGTGCCTGCGTTAACACTCACCCCTCCGTCCACACCAGCTCCCCCGGGGAAAGGACGTCTTCAGGCACCTGCTAGGAGGAAAGAGCGTTTCGTTAGCTCCTCTGAAACCAACCGGAGCCCGTGGACCCAGCAAGGAGCTGGAAACCGGGAGGCTGGCGTTCAGCTGTCTGAGACACCTTAGGGAAGTTGCTGAACCTGTTAAACAGAAAGGCCTGTGCGACTCCGCAGCAGAGCAAAAGGGAAAGTAACACTTCTGAAGCTGAAGCGGCCAGCAGGGGCCAGGGGGGCCCGGGGGGGCCTGGGAGGCCAAGGTAAAGAGTTCAGTCTTAATTCTAAGAGCAACGGGAAATCATTGATTCGCAAGGTAGAGAACAGACTGGAAACGGGCAAGAGTAGCTCTCCGTGTACGTATTAGGGGTTCCCAGGGCCCAGACTGGGTGGTCACAGTAGAGCTAGAAAGAAGTGGATGGATTCAAGAGATCCTTAAGAGGTGGTCGCCAAAGGATTTGGTGGAGGACTGGATGGGGCAGGGGAGAAGGGAGAGCAGAGGCCCGCCTACCCCTCAGGCACCTCCTTCCATGTCAGTCCCGGTGATCTCCAGCACCCGAAAAAAAAACATACCCATTGCTCTCTCAACCTGGCCTCTCCTTGCCTCGGTTTCCCCATCTGTAAAATAAATCCAGCTGGACTCAGTGGTCCCTACGTTCTATTTAGCATTAACATTCTGTTCTGGTCTAATTTGCTCATAGACGATTTAAGGCTTAGGGGCAGGTCCAGCCTCGTACACAACGGGGCAGGAGTGTTGGAGGGAGAAACCTCAGGTCCCCTGGGCTCAGAACAGTAAATCTCCAGGGGAGACGAGACACCTCCACGTCACACAGATCACAAGAATCAGGTGAAGAGGAAGGTCACTTGGGCTGAGGCTGCGAGCCCGATGGCCTGCTCTCTGGCCCAGCTCCAGAGGCCAGCACGGGCCTCAGGACACTGTCACTCCAGCTGTGACATCAGTCACCCAGCGGCTGACACCCTGCTTCCACATCCCCTGTCTTCCAGCACCTGGGGTTGCCCACAGGAGGCCGGTTAGCAAGCATGCCTAGGGAGATGGGCAGGACAGTGGGTAGAAGTTCGGGCTCCGCAGTCACACAGACCTGGTAGGAATTCCGGCTCAACCTCTCTCTCTCTCTCTCTCATTCTGAGGCCTGGGGCAAGTCACTTCACCGCTCTTAGGCTTGGTTTCCTCATGTGGGAAAGAGGAGTGACAGTGTCTGCTCCCAGGTCTAACAGGAGGATTCAGTGAGATGTACGTGGAAAGCTCAGCACAGTGCCTTATCACCATGAAATAGCAGCCTCCGCTTACACAGGTGGAAATCGAGACCCAGAAAGCAAAATGACTCACTGAAGACCCCTTCAGCGAACCAGTCGATGCAGGGGTGAGGCCCAGAGCCCACATTCGGAACCAGGAGGTCGGGCGTGCACCATTTTGGTTCCTGCTTCTCAGATAAGGAAGTTGAGACTAAGGTATTACAAGTAACTCGACCAAGTCCACAGAGAGAATTAACGGGAGAAGAGGGATTTGAACTCAGGCCTCCTTGATGAAAAAGCCCATGGTCTTCCCTGTGGATAGAGAAGCTTCAGATTTCAGGGCCCTATAAACCTGGAACAGGGACAAATGGAAATCTGGATGGGGGGCGGAGTGGGGGGGTGGGAAGCAGCAAAGCTACCTTAAGAGGAAACCAGAAGGAGCTGGTGAAACAAAAACCTCTTTCTCAGAAGCCCTCTCTGGGGACTGGGCAGGAGATGAGGGGGCTGACAAGCAGGGCCATCGTCTGGCCAGGGCTGGGCTGAGGGTTGGATCTAAACAAACAGAAACGGATCCAGCTTGGCCACCAACTTGCTGTGTGATCCTCGGCAGGTCACACACATACACACACACTCAGTTCTCTGTTTCTTCAACTCAAGAATGAGATGGTTATTCTGAATGGTGTTGAGATTCCCCACTTATAAGAGACTAATAATAACCATTCCTCACAAGCTCTAGACTCCTGATCAGTCCCTGCTCCTACAACCCCAAAAGGTGGCCTCTTAACGCTGGCCCCAATATTACAATAGGGTGGGGAAGTCCTGCGTTTGGGCTCTGGCCCTATAGCCAGGTCTTTGGCATCATCTGTAAAACGGGTACATATCTTTGCCTGATCACTTACAGAATGGGAAGGTCCAAGGAGCTACCTCAAAGGCAAGAAACCCCCTGAGGCAACGAACAAAGCAACCTCACCCCAGTCCTCAGCCCACATCCACAGTCAAGCTCTTTTAACTTTTCCTTTCCCTCTGGCTCATGTCCCCTTCAGACAAATAGAACAAGAGAATTCAAGCTGATGGATGCAACAGCAGTAGCAACAACCCCCACAACTAGTAGTAGTAGTAACCTCCACCACTGCCAATATCTGACTCCTGACACCTGCCAGGCACTGTGCTAAATCCTGCCCGTGATCCCCTCAATCAATGAGGAAATTCCACTGGTAATCTAAATGGATAGATGACAAAGATTCAGCAAAGTGAAGTGACTTGCCCAAGGTCCCACACACAGCAAGTGAGTGGTGTGGCCACCTAGACGCAGGCTTTTCATTTGACCTTGGGAGTCTTAATCTTATCCTTGAGGCTGCGGGGTTATCCAGGGTAACATTCCACCACAGGGCATGGCTCAGATCTAGGCAGTGGGGGAAGGGGGGCGGTGTGAGGAATATCTGATCTCCAACCCCCACACACAGCTGCCCCAAATAACTAGTCTTTATAGTCTTTTTGTATCATTATTCAAATATGTCCAGCTCAACTCTCTGGCTAGAACAACACTGTCCAATAGAAACATAATGCAAGCCATATATATCATTTAAAATTTTCAGTAGCGGGGCGCCCAGGTGGCTCAGTCGGTTAAGCGTCTGACTCTTGATTTCGGCTCAGGTCATGATCTCAGGGTTGTGGGATAGAGCCCCACAATTGGCTCTGCGCTGGGTGTGGAGTCTGTGTGAGATTATCTCTCTCCCTCCCCCTCTGCCCCTCCCTCCCCCGCTCTCTCCTTCCCTCTCAAAAAATAAAATAAAATAAAATTTTCAGTAGCTGCCTTTTAAAAAGTACAAAAGAATGGATGAAATTAATTTTTTTAAAGATTGTATTTATTTTATTTATTAGAGAGAGCATGCCTGCTCAGGCAAGTGTGAGATGGGGGGAGCAGAGGGGAGGGAGAGGGACAAGCAGACCCCGCACTGAGCACAGAGCCGATGCAGGGCTCAATCTCACGACCTGAGTCGAAATCAAGAGTTGGATGCTCCACCGACTGAACCACCCAGGCACCCCTGAAATTAATTTTAAAAGTATATTTATTTAGCCCAATATATCCATTTCAACATGTAATCAATATACAAAATATTAAGATAGTTTGCATTCTTTTTTTTTTTCATACTAAGTCTTCCAAATCTGTCATGTATCTTACATTTAGAGCACCTCTCAATTCTGATGCTCAATTTTCAGAAGATAGTTAGATCCCCTTAGCCCTTACCACCGAAAGTATATTCATGAATCTAATCATCTAATCTATGTAGAAGTTTTTTGATAACCAAATGGAGTATTCTTTTTAAATTTTGAAATTAATTCAAATCAGATTAAAACTTCAGTTCCTCAGAGCACTAGCCATATTCCGAGTGCTCAGGAGCCACGTGTGGCCAAGCGGCTGCAGTAGGTACTGTAACCTCTAGATGGTCAAGTCCTAGAGGGCAGGGCTGCTGGCCCCCATGGCCCACGGCCAGAGCTAGGCCTCCCGAAGTACAGGTGAGTCTGAAGAGAACGGTATCTTCTCATTCGGTAATCCCTACTGAGCCTAATATTAATATCGACCGCTGGCGCATATTACATTCACCGTGATGGTGACAAAGACATTGGGCGTACCCATTGATCAGAGAATGAATATAGCTCAGAGAGGTGGGCCACCGACCAAGGTCACCCAGCTTTGACCCCAGGCCTGTCTGACTTGGAAGCCTGAGCTCTGTCCCTAAAGCTTGACAGGGACCGGGTCTGGGGCTCAGTCTTCTAGAGAAAGAAATAAGCCCTCGCCACTATTCTCATGAAGCCCTCCTTCCCTAGTCTAGCACCAGAGAATAACCCAGGACAGGACACCCAGGGAAGAGGATGAAAGGGAAGGAGAGCAGGAAAAAGGCATTAGGTCATGGTCCCAAGTACAGAGCTTGGGCCACATGTGACACCATCCCCACTCCCCCCCCAACACACACACATAAAGCAGGAGGGAAACCTAGCAAGGTCCAGGGCTGCCTGCCCTCCGGTGGGTCCCTGGGGCCAGGAGCCCTGCCCTGTCCTGCACCTCCCCCAGGAGCACTCACTCGGAGGTGCTTGGACCAGGGCCAGAGCCATTACTCACCTCCCAGGGTCACCTCAGGTGGAGTCAAGGGAAAGGGTCCAAGAGGCAGCCTGCCCCCTGGAAGGAGGGGAGGAGCAGGCCCTGGAGGCAGATTCCAGAGTAGGGAAAAGGTAGCAGGTAGAGGCCAGAAAAGCCTAGTCAGCCCCGCCCCTCTCCTGGAGAGCAGAGCTCGCACTCAGCCCCCCACCAGCCCCACAGCCTGAAACTCTCACTAGCTATTAGGTTTAACAATTAACTTTGATTCTTTTCCATTTCAGCAGGAGGTAGCCCCAGCAAAAAGTCCCATCTGGGGGTAGGGGGACTTGGAAGGCGGGGAGAAGAGGAAGGGGTGGGTGTGAAGGGAGAAGGGGGTGATTAGTGAACCCCCTCACTTCCTCCTTCCCGTCCCGTCCTACCAATGTGGGACAGCCTTCACACTAAGGCCTGAAGTTCCATAAGGTCAGGAGGAGTGACCTGGCACACAGTAGGTGCTCGATAAATATTTTTAGCTAACAAACAAGGGGGCAGGGTGAACTAGACTAAAACAGGCCAGCTAGATGGGCAGACTGATGAAGACCAGGAGACACAAGGTGGCGCGCCCTGGGCTGGTGCCTCCCTGACCCCTCTGACTCCAGGCCCCCCCCCGAGACCGAACTGGACTGAGGA